AAAAAAAAAAAAATGTTTTATGTTGTTCTTCTCAGCCGGAACTGCCATCTTCCAGTAATTTGCCAAAATGATGAACACAAAGGGAAAGAGAAGCGCCCGGTATGTGTTCTCTAGGCCTTTTAGAAAACATGGAGTCATTCCTTTCTTTGGCCACGTATACGTGAATCTATAAGAAAGGTGATATTGCCTGGGCATGATGGCTCACACTTGTAATCCCAGAACTCTGGGGGGTCAAGGTGGGCAGATCATGAGGTCAGGAGTTTGAGACCAGCCTGGCCAATGTGGCGAAACCCTGTCTCTATTAAAAAAAATAGAAAAATTTGCTTATAGCCATTACTAGAAGAAAAAAAAAATTAGCCAGTCCTGGTGGTGTGCACATATAGTCCCAGGAGGCTGAGGCAGGAGAATTAGTTGAACCCAGGAGGCAGACTTTGCAGTGAGCTGAGATCATGCCACTGCACTGCAACCTGGGCGAGAGAGCGAGACTGTCTAAAAAAAAAAAAAAAGAAATGTGGTATCGTAGACATCAAGGGAATGGGTACTGTTCAAAAATGAACGCCACATAAGTGTTGCCATGGCAAAACGGTAAGAGTCTACAATGTTACCCAGCATGCTGTTGGCATTGTTGTAAACAAACAAGTTAAGGATGAGGTGTTGCTGAGAGAATTACTGTGTGTATTGAGCACGTTAAGTACTCTCAGAGCTGAGATAGCTTCCTGAAACTGTCTCGGAAAGTTTCAGAAAATGATCAGAAAAAGAAAGAAGCCAAAGAGAAAGGTACCCAGGTACAACTGAAGTGCCAACTCGCTCCACCCAAAGAAACACATTTTGTGAGAAGCAGCGGGAAGGAGCCTGAGCTGCTGGAACCTATTCCCTATGAATTCACGGCATAATAGGTATTAAAAAAGTAAAAGACCTCTGGACTATAGAAATTAAAAAAAAAGTTTTATGAGTTTAAAGAATATAGATTCAAATAAATACAGATGCAATAAGCTTCCTATAAATTTTCAGTGGCAAGTTTTCTTCACAATAATGAAAAATACAAGGCTAAAATTTACATGAAACTACAATAAACTTTGAATAGCCAAAGCAATCTTGAGGAAAGAGAACAAAGCAGAAGGACATCATACTTTATAATTCCAAAGTATTGGGCTGCGTGTGGTGGCTCACGCCTGTGATCCAAGCACTTTGGAGGCCAAGGTGGGAGGATCACCTGAGGTTGGGAGTTTAAGACCAGCCTGACCAACATAGTGAAACCCCGTCTTTAAAAAAA